TCAGAGTATTGAATTGTGGAAAAAGTGGATGTACATGTAAAGTTGTGTTACAAGTTGACTAGGTCATTGTTCGGCTAACTCTGACGTAACTAAGAGGGCAGCTTGATTTTCTTTGTACATTTTTGTTTGTGGAATTCCTGAGTTTTGGTCTCTTGAAAGTCACAATTCACAATTCATACAGTGTACCTTGTAAAATTGCTAATCCTGTGTCCCAGTCATAATTACAATCCCGAATCTCGTCCTCCTTTTCCTTAAAAATCCTGAACCCCGGCCTTCATATAAGCCTAATCCCAGATTGCAAAAAACCCATTGGGGACCCTCTGTAACCGAGATGCCACCCTAAAAAAAAAAATTGAAATCCGAGAGATCACCCATTTTACCTTCATTCTACCCTTGACTTGACATTGTAAAGATCATGTTCATAAAAGTATTACTTTGATATATTCAAAAAGTCTTCTCAAAAATTATATTTGTTCTAATTAAATTTGTATTCTTGTCACTCTACATTTCTGGGAATTTGGAAACACAAAAGGTTAAAAGACCAAAACAATGCCTCTAGACAAGAATGTTATTAATGCAGTAAGTGACAACTTTAGCTTCGGTTGAAGTAGTGATATTTCCATATTGTAGATGTAAAAGTCTATTTAAAACTTGTCCGTAGTGTGGTTTTGTTTTATTCATGGACACCTTTGATTCCAGAGCTTCCTGTGACTGGAAGCCTGTGTCATGAACCTAAAGGATGATATCTTTTTTTCTAAGCCATTGTTACCCTCCATTTCATCAGTGGAATCTCCTTGATGTTTATTCCTTACCATTTCAAACCATTAAAAGATATATGTTTGTATGAAGAATAGAAATTTACCATATATGTGATATATGTCACCCTGTTTGTTTTGAGATGTTGCATAAAAAAAAAAGGTTCTTTATTGGTATCTACCTAGAATATGCAAATAATGAAATGCAATGTGGGCCAAAAAACTTCAGGGAATCGGAACGAGGTAAT